CCCAAAACATAAAAAAGAATGAGTTTAATAGGGGTAGAGACACAAAACTTGTTTTTTTTCCAGATGATGTATTAAGTTTTATATATTTTATTAATGATAGCATGCACGCAAATGACTCAAAGATAATGTATGTGTGTATATGTACATATATAAGTAGTCTATATCAATGCAATTAGTAAGTAAGAGCAGCTATGGTGACAAATTTTATATGAAGGTAATTTTAGTTTAGGATCAATGGATAATTTTATTTTTTATTTTTTATAACACAAAGTGTTTCCTAATCAATAATGAATAGTAAGTCTTTAGCAACAGTTCTTCATACTTATGCAGATGTTTGCAACCTTAAAGTTACTGAGAATTTATCTTAAATAAGTGAAATTCTTCAGATTTCTTTAAATTTATTGTGTAATTGTCTTTCATTTTTCTTATATATGCATTTAGGTCCAACCTCTAGTCTCACTTAATTGGTGATCATTATTTTTAAATCCAAAAGTAGTTATGGCACCTATCATCTTATAGTTGGAAATATTTAACAGCAGATGCATGTCACAGCCAGAATTTTCTGATATTTTCTGCACTATTCATTATATCCTGTGTCTTCCTATTTTTATCTTAATGTTAGATTTAATCTAATTTTGCCATAATAATGTTAGTTGTTTTGTTAGCATTACTGACTGTATTGTTATTTTAGTCCTTGTATGGCTACAGACTCAAATCATACAAAACAACTAAAGAAATAACAAATCAGATATCATGTCATCATCTTTTCCTTTTCATATTAGCATCATGTTTCAGAAATAGTTGACCAAAAATTCATGTGTGATTTATAAATATGCAAAGGTCATATCATAATTCTTGTATAGAGGTATTTATCTATTTATAAATAATTTTATAACAGATCTAAAGGTATATCACAGTATTTATAAATACTGTATAATTTTGGGTAATGTGTATTCTGAATTCATCAAGGTAATTATAATGTTTTAATGTAACATTTTTCATCAGTCATATTAACCCATACGCCACGGTTGGCAAGAATAGATGCCATACCCACTTTGATACACGTTTATTTATTGTATTTACACCTAGATGGCTCTATAAGTTCTTAATCACCAAATAGCCAGTTATCAAGAACTACCTATTTCACCTGTTTAGCCTTTTCCTTCACTTTCGGAAAGGGTTTTTTGTATCATCTTATTGTCATAAATATTCTAATGACAATTCAATCATCATAACATCAGTACCAATAATAACAGCATCGAAAGCAATGATATTAATTTTCCCGCCAATTCAATGAATGGGAAAATCAGGGTCGGTAACTAGGGCCTACTGATAGACTCCTTGCCGGCTGAGTACATGTGGAGCCATCTGTAGGTAGCAAAATTCACCAAAACCAACAGGGGACAGAACATAAATCCATGGCGAATGGGTTAAAGTAGATTTTTCAAAATTTTAATGCACTCTCAAGTTGAGAGGATTAATATGTATTTGAAGAAAATAAAAATGGGAATAAATGTTTGCATGTCATTTGCTTCAAAGTAATCATAAATTTCTATTTGGAATAATAACCATTATTTTACTGCTCTTTTTAAAGATGGAAGAGGGAAGATGGTACACACATAAAATTTTTAATACTATAGTTAACAAATCGAGACATTAATCACCCACAATTTTTTTCATTTCTTTTACATAAAGCAGTTCCTCCTATTTTTCTGCATTTTTTAATAAGTCAATTGATTTACTGTTTTTGCTCTACTTTGGAATCTTTGTGCCTTCATTACCAGCCTTTTGTTATTTGTGATAATATTGCCTAAAAACCTGAAAGCTCTGAAATCCACTGATATTCTTTCAAGGATTCACAAAGGAAAATGATAATAGGGAAACATGTAACAAGAATAGACTTCAAAGTTTAAGAAGAGTTCACTGACAGCAAGTGAGGTCATGAGGGCAGCTGTGAAAATTTGAGATTCCTGAACGACTCTCATCATCAAATTCATTAAATGTCCCTAATTTTTCAGATCTTATGAGCCCTTCAAGGTGGGTATATATGATCAAGGAAAATTAAGAGTATGACAAGATTTTTCATCTGGCATGATTTTTTGGAGGTGGATTTTTATGGGATACCCCTACTTTTCATTCTTGTTTCCATGTTCTTGACCAATTGATTTTATAGATTTGTTGTCTTCAAAGAGGTAAATGTATTTAACCCATTCACGACGGGTATCGCGTATCCGTGACATGACCACTGTGAGTTTACTTGTTTAATTGTTTTAACACATAGATGGCTACACTTGTTGCTACTACTACCTGTCTCGCCCATTTACCCTTTTCTTTAAATTACAAGAATATTTTATGTTATCTTACTTTGTTGTTACTAATGTTTATAATATTATAGTAGTTATGATGTTTATAATAAAAATAACCATCAATATTCATAGCACTAGAAAGAAATACAGTTTCCCGTCAATTCCAGGAAAGGTGAAATCAGGTAAGGTAGAAC